CCAGATGCTAAGCACTGGGCATGAGGTGGGTGTTAAAGAATGACAAAAGTCTCACATTGGTGGTTAATGAGATGGGTGGACTCTTTATAAGGCTTGGGCAATTCTCCTCCCTTTGAGCTAGCTTTTGGGGTGTGAGTTAGGCCTAAGATCTAATTTCATACTACCAAAAGAGGTAATTCAGTAATATGCAAAAATAACAATTTGTTTGTGTACTTAGTTGGCAGATTTTGCGAAAATTCCACTGGAGAGAGCTGGAGGAATGATTAATCTCATTGACATCTATTGCCTTTTCAACCGGGCTCGTGGAACAGGTCATCTTGTAATTTTTTTAGTTTTTTTTTTTCTTATTGACTATTAAATCCTCACTACCTCTAGGAGGTAGGGGTAAGGTCTATGTACACCTACCCTCCCCAGACCCCACCTGTGGGATTGTGGGATTACACTGGGTATGTTGTTGTATTGACTATTAAATTGTCAACTCAAAGTCTGTCACTTTAGTTTCTCAATAATTTTTTCATTATTTTGGCAGTGTCTTTACAGGCTGTTATAACTTTTTTATTGTGATTTTACAGAATTGATCTCACCTGACGATTTGCTGCGTGCGTGTTCTCTCTGGGAGAAGTTTGACGTGTATGTGTCCCTTTTTCCTCTACACATACACACATACTCACACACATACATATTTGCATCTTTGTTCATCCTTGAACTAGTTCTCAACTATAGAGTCTATGTAACTTGGGGTTCATTTCAACTACTTCCATGCCTAAACAGAAAAAGGAAATAACACTTCACTTTTACAGACCAGTTATGCTTCGGACGTTTGATAGTGGTGTCATGGTCATTCAGAGCAAAAGCCACAGTGATGTTGAGGTAAAATATTTATATTGGCTTCACTGTTTGAACATCTCCTTTCTGCCAATACAATTCTTGCTTTTTCGGGTCTTCCCTAATCTCTCTGATTGCATCCTATATTGCGTTTCTTGAACTTATTGTAAGGGTCTGTAGTCTTCTAAGTAATTCTTCGCCTTGATATTGTCCTCCTCCTTTATGTTGGGGTCAAACCAAATTCTTGTGATTATATCTGTCATCAATCTCTCAAGTAGCAGATGTCTAGTGGTAGTCGAGATACAACTCATTCAATAGTTAATCATAGGCAAAGTAGAATTCCTATAAAAGTTATTGCTGAAGAAGACCATAATTGAATAGGTAAACAAGTCTAGTGTACTGTACTAGACTGAGTCGGTGTTGAGAGTGCTCAGTTATATAATACTAAACAAAGGGGTATAATGGGATTTTGTGAGGTATTTATAGGTTTTGGGCCACTCTATGCATTGCTCTAAGGTTATAGGTTTGATACTTAGATTTTAGGTTCTTTCACATGGTATCAAAGATAACAATCTAAATAGAGATATAAGTTGCTTTTTCCAACCGATAGGCGGCCTCTAAATGGCTGTCTTCCAGGCCAAAATCTTTCCTTCTGTTCATAAGTTAACAACTCTTGTCCTTTTTGGTGACCATTCCAGCAGCAACACTTTAATTTTTAAGTATCTGCTCCGCTTGATGATGCCTCCTTCCCTGACTGTTCTGCGGCACCAACCTTTCCTCAGTGTTCATTCTTACAGCACTGTTTCATCAGGCCACTATTCTGGCCGTTTTGGGAACTTATCCCAGAACTTTTTCTCTTCTTTGTTTGTGGTATCATAGTCAACCTTCAAAAAATTGGCCTCACACTTGTAACTCCGCATCCAGTTACTTATGTTAGCATTCTCAAAAAAAAGAAAAAAAGAACTAGTATCTTATTCGTAATGTAGGATGCCATCTTGACATCTCTATATGCTCACTTATGGCATACTGAGATCCTAGGTGATGACGGCTTGTTCATACCTTAAAAGACTCCTCAACGAATTCCAAGAGTACCTTTCCTTAACATAACCATGAGAGCAGCTAAATTTGAAGCAAAAAAAAGACTTTTCAATAGTCAATTGAAGTTTGAAATCTGCCCTTCTCCATTCCTGTTAAATAAATCTGGTGTATAATATACTTTCTATATCCTTAATACCCACAATTCTACTATCAACTGCAGGTATTTACTAGAATTAGATCTATGGTTACTACACCTGATGCTTTACGATCAGGAGTCACTGCTAGTGATGCTGCAATGACTCTGGGAATTGCTCCAGCAATGGCTAAAGAGCACCTTCTCGCAGCTGAAGGCAAAGGTATATTCTGCAGATTCTAATATTTTTAACACATAGAAAGTGGTGCTTAAGTTGTGATCATATTTTGCAGGACTTCTATGCAGAGATGTTAGTCCAGATGGATTCCGCTTTTTCGTCAATTTGTTGCAAGAAGTTGATGCTGATGATATATTCTTGTAAGTGACTTGCAGATGCAAATTCTTCCAGTCGACACATATAATGTTGGCGATGTGGTTAGGACTTAGAGCTACCCTTAATTGCTTTATATATGAATGGGACTGCTCACTGATCAAGATTTTGCTTAAGCTTTTTGTTCATTTTCTGGGCATCGAAAGACTTTGGGGACCACTATGAGATTCCCTCTAACAGATTAAGCTTTTGATAAGACTGTCAAATGATTCAACAATGTCCAATAAGGTCTGATTGGTATAGTACCTAATGTGGCATGAAGAGAAGCTATTGGTTGTCTAAAGTGTGTTCTAAAATTGGGTTACATGGTAGAGATATCCGGGTCGAAGTGGGAGTGGCCTCCGTTGTAGACAAGTTGAGGGAAGAGAGATTGGTGGTTTGGACATGTGAAAAGGAGATGTGCGGATGCCCCAATGAGGAGGTGTGAAAGGTTGGATATAGTGGGGTCAAGGAGAGGCAGAGGTAGGCCGAAAAAATATTTGGGGGAGGTGATTAGGCATGATATGTCGCATCTTCAGCTTACTGAGAACATGAACTTAGATAGGGGGTATGGAGGTTGGGGTAAGGGTAGAAGGTTAGTAGGTAGTTTAGAGTTGTCCTATTACTAGCTTATTGATTTGATTTGGTGGTAGTATAGCGCACCGTGTCAGTTGTAGTATTAATGTAGTCTTTGGCTTTTGGTATGTGATATCATCCGCGGTTTACTTTGTTTAGGTGATCACACTTTGTTGTTGTTACGGTTCCTTGCATATATGCGCCGCACTACTTTGCTATTACTTGTCATGTTTTTCCCCACCATCTTTTTTCGCTTTATTACTGCTGTGATTTGCTTGAGCCGAGGGTCTTTCGGGAACCGCTTCTCTACCCCTGAGAGGTACTGGTAAGGACTGTGTACACTCGACCCTCCCTAAACCCAACTTTGTGGTATTTCACTGGGTTTGTTGTTGTTGTTGTGCTCTACTAATGTGGGAATAGTTGAGAAAGTTGTGATAATCCTAGATTGATCCATTGCAGAGTGAAAGATTATGGAATCTATCAGACATGGATCAAAGTTATCTCTGCTGCCAGGTTTTCTACTTGTAACTTCAGCTTTTGGTTTTCTAATCAGTAATGAGAACAGCAATATAAAATGATGTTTCAACTTCTCACTTTTTCCTTTTTTAAATTTTTGATAATTTCCCAGGTGAAATAGAAGAATCATGATAAATAGCTTCATGCATCAGCACGCTCTTTCAGGGCTAATTTGTTGTTTTAGGTGCATCGTAGAAGTTTATTTATGTCAAAGCTTGAATGGGAGAGCAGAGATAGGATGAATAGGTGAAAAGATAAGTGCCTCTCCCACCCCGACTTGAAGAGAGCCAGAAGGGGATATCAGAAGGTTAGGCTTGCCTAGGTTTTGCATGTTTGGGTACTTGGAGCACAGGAATCGAGTTGAAATTACATAATTCAGGTTGATAAGGACAGAGAAGTCTACATCATGCAGGCATTACAAGGTAACACAATCTATGGTGGTACCTGATTCTAGTTCCTTAACAAAGAAATGAAGAGTTGATTTATTCTGAATTATGGTTTTGTAAGCACAGGAACATTCTCTTATGTTACAGTTTTCCATGCAAGGCACAAAAATTTGTTACTTGTACATTTGGTAATTGAATGCACAAAGAGTTCATTGTCACCAACTAGATCTGTTTAATTCCTTCCCTAAGTTTCCCCTCTAGAGTCTAGTGTATGATACAGTATCTACTCGTGGATTTGGTGTACGATATCTTCTAATAACATTTGCGATAGTCAAGGATGACAAAAGGATCAATGATGCATGGAGATATCTGTTAATTTGAGGATGACAATGTGTTGGTTTTTTCGCTGGTAACTGCTCGTTCCTTTCCAAAATAAAGAAGGGGAGTATTTACATCCAAACATGCGATAATCATCACAAATATCCTACTAAAAATATTCAATATCTAAAATGACAAGAAATATATAGATTTTTTAACGATCATATTATGGGGAAAAACTATCCAGAACCTCCAACAGAACATGGAAAATCATTGTCTGGCGTATCCCAAAAATTCTCAAAGGGCCTTGCTATATGTTTAAGGGACAATCTCAAAGTTCATCTGTTGAACTAAGAACATACAACACTAGACATAAAATTATCTTCTGTATATCAACAAAACTTCACTCTTACAATAAAGGGGTCATTTGGTAGTGTATTACTACCTTGTTTGGTACTCTTTTTCAACCTATGTATAACTAATGCTTGCATTAGTTATACACGCTATTGTGTATTAAGGTGTTCATTGCTAATACCATGTATATCTAGGTATTATCAATGCAATGGTTTTAATGCATGCATTAATATGATAAAAGACCCAATTACCCCTCAAAACCTTTTTTACATCTTTTCCACCATAAAAGTCAAGGGTATCTTTGTAAATAATTTTTTTAATGCATCAAACTAAACAATGCATTAAAATAATCTATGTATAATTAATGCAAGCATTATTCTTATACACTCTACCAAATGACCCCTAATTATAGTAACCATTTCACGATGATCTAAACTACCTACCTTATATCTTTGAATGGGGGTAGGCAGGCAGAAGAACTAGAGACTAGAACAATTGACACAGATTAGATCCTCCCTATCGGGTAAAAACTGATAGATCTCCCCAGCAACCATCAAAGAGGGATATTTAGAGAAGTACAGAAGTGTATCTACAAGATTACATCATCAGCTGTACAAAACCCATCATCCTACAGCTACTCACGCTGCAAATAACCTGCACGTTATATAGGTCAAATGTAGGGACACTATGCTTCTACTGCTGCTGCATCTTCCACTTCAGGATCTGAATCTGAATCGGCATCTGCTGCTGAGATCATCGAGGCTGACTGAATTTTCCCAGCATGCTCAAGACGCATCAAAATTACTCCTCTGGAGAATGGTATGAGAGAATATATTAGAGACTAAGTAATATCTGAGATATTAAGCAAAAAAATAAACACCTGAGATATTGATCAGAAGCCAAAAGCACTTCAGTGTACTATTGTTTCTCCGTAATACAGTCATTTTCTTATGAAGTTATTCAGCATAACTCAATCACAAATGAAATTATGTGCAACTAAGCTATTTAAGGAAATCTAGGTGATTTCCATTTGTGAAATAGAGAACAATATAGAGTGCTTCCGTAGCCCCTCTAGGCTGCATCTTGTTTCTCTTCAGTAGATACAAGGGGAAAACAGAAAACCAGTACCACAGAGTTAATGTCTAGTTGCTTGTGACTCATGAAGTTTAGATGATGTAATATTATATATCTCCAGTTATTTGGATACCATGACAATCAGTCTGACTTTTTTTCTCGTGGCGAGTTATTTTGTTAAAACGTACAGTGGAGGTACAGAATATGTACAAGAGATGGACTTAAATTTCTTAAGAAATAATGATATTTATTCCAACGATAATCAGAATTTATGGGGCTTAGTCATAAAAGCAAAATATGAAGAAAGTGACAATTGGATGACAAAGGAAGTTACCACTCTCTATGGTGTTAGTTTATGGAATCCATCCTATCACTATGGTATGAATTCAAACCAAACACCAAGATTAAATGGTTGCTGGCTAAGTAAGCTGTGTTGACACAGGAGAATTTGATGAAGAGGGGGATTACACTGTGCTCTAGATGTTTTTTTGTGGGTTAACTGCAGAAATAGTCTATCACTTTTCATCCAGTGCAAGGTCACTGGCCAATTGTGGAGTCTATTCTAAGGCTCAAAACATCTCATGGGTCATGCCTGGTAGAATGGCAGGGGGCCTTATACAGTAGGGAAGTAGCAGGATTACAAGCAAAGAACAGAAGCAACTGGAGAATCATTCCTGCTACTATTTGGTGGACTATCTGGAAAGAGAGAAACCTTAGGAGTTTTTGGGAAAAGGGAGAGTAATAAGCAGCAAGTAAAACTGAATTGTATTCTAAATGGCAGTCTCTATCATTGATGTTTTAGACTCATTATTATAGGGATAGGACAGTGCCTTTAGAGTTCATTATGTAAATATGGTTTTCAGTTACCAATCTCAAAAAAAAGTTACACTTTGGATTTCTAGGTATTAGTAATGCAAATGATTTAATACATGCATTAGCATTGTTAAAGACCCAATTACCCTTCAAAAGCACTTTTACACCTTTTCCGTCATAATTGTGGAGGAAGCTTTTATAAATAAATATTTTTATACAATACATACTTTTCTTAATACATCAAATCAAACAATGCATAAAAAATATTTTATGTATAACTAATACAAGCATTACTTATGCAAGCTTTACTAATACATTCTATTTAGCATTATTTTTATACACTCTACCAAATGACCCCTTAGTTTCCACCATTATCACTCTCCTATGCACAAACCCCTTTTTCTTTTTCACTCATCAACTTTTCTGGGTCTTTTGTTGGCTGATGTTAAATCATTTAAATATTAGTTTTCGAGCAAGCCAACTGACCCAAGCTTCTAGCCTAAAATGATTTTGAGCTTTCACAGAACTCAAGATGGTATTAAAATATAGTCAAACTACATCCCTATGAAAGAACCAAGGACAATAAGACTCCTGGCAACAACAACAAATAGATCTTTAGCCTGTAGGCACTCTAATAAAAAGGTAATCAGCATCCCAAGAATGTACTACTGCAGAAATTGTATACTTGAAAAACAAACTATAGCACTACAGATCAAAGAAGACAAATGCTACAGGACACTGACATACCTCGCATACCGGGACTGGATAGATATGTCCCGAACTTTTATGCGATTCACCGTTCCACTCTGGCTCACAAGAACAACTTGCTCGTCACTCTCACCATCTTCTGCTTAAAGCGTTTCAATTATTTATTATTACCACAATATTTGAAGTCTGCTAGTATTCAAAACATTCAAACTACGCAGAAGAATGCAAAGGATTACGGTACCTCCAAAGGAGAATCCAACTACGAATACTGCTGCCAGGCGATCTTCAGATGAAAACTGAATAAATGCATCAGACGTATTAGTTGACTAAGCTGAACAAAGATAATAAAAATTAACCTCCCTCCTTTTTCCTACGAAGAGAGGAAAGGCAGTGATAAGGATTTTTATCTTTGATTATACTTTCGCTTATAGCATTATGGTGTACCTTGTAACCAATTAAACCGACTCTATTCAAAGGTGATGCGCGGAATCTGCTAACTGGAACTCGTTTCCCATAACCGCTTTCTGACACAAACAGCAGCCATGGGCCATTCATGCTCCTTCTACTAGTACACAGCATATTGAAGATAAAGAGAGTGTTACAAACAAATCAAAGAGCAATAGAAAAATAAGGCAGGCTTTCAAAACAATTGATGCAAGACATCTGTTTTTTTGGGCAACAAATAGGCAAGACATGCTGGTAATAATAATCATTTTTGGAGAGCCGATGATGTTAGAAGAAGCAGCCTAGGGGACAAAATCAACCTAGAGACTACCAGAGATGCAAAAAGCATAGAAGAGTACCCGTCAGTGCTAACAGTGCAAACTACAAGTAAAGCGTTAACTTCAGCAAACAAAGGCACTAATGATGGAAAAAAATGTATAATGCAAAAAAAAAAAAAAACTATAAACACACTAATTAATGGAGAGATAATTAAAAAGAAACCACAGTTGAAGTAAATTATGTGAAGTAAAAACCAACTTCAGTTTCTGATTAAAATGAAAAGATGTATTTTCATTTCTATAGTGACTAGTTTTTTAAACTAAATTTCTAGTTGTTAATGCGTAATCAGAAAAAAAATAATTTCTAACGTTTTATTAATAATTGAGATATCATTTGCCAACAAGATATAATGTCTGGTGCTACCCTCTTGAAGAAAAGAAATTTTATTTTGATGTGGGACACAACCAACAATACTTGAGAAAAGCTTTCTTCTAGTTAGTTGTGTGGCATGGTGAGTCCCAAACTCCCAATAGCCATTTCACTTGCATGTATGTTCGCTCTCATTCACACAACCATTTCTTTCCTTTTTTTGATGAAGTAAGAGAAATTCATTAAAAGGCATCAATAAGATGCAGTAGTACAACTTAACCATTTCTTTCCTTCCTCCTCTTTTTTGTAATTTTAATTGACAATGGTAACTGACCTCTTTTTTGTAATTTTGTCAGAGGGCAACCGTTTTCCCTTTTCCACAAAAAGAATGAGCGAACTCTTCATATACAAATTCTCTCCTACTTCCAATTGATTTTCCTTTAATTATCATTAAGTACCATTTTCGCTATTCCTTGAATTTCTTTCTTTTGTGTGACCAGATTCTCTTAGTAAGTTTCCTTAGAAAAACACTATGTATCCAACATATTATTTTTATCAAGTGAGAATTAAATTAAGAACTGAGGACAAGGGACAAAAAGAAAGATGTTGAGCACTTTTACTTTGACTGAAAGAAATGAGTTTTAAGTTTTTTTTTTTTTTTTTTTTTTGGCGGGTTGGGTTGGTAGCTTAGGTTGAGTTTCTTAGCTTTGAAAAGGTAAAGAACACAAATAATAATGAAGTAGCTGAGAACGCTTCGGTTCCAAAGCCGAAATGCTGCATTCTGGTGTGAAACAGTGAAGTTCAAGGGATACACTCTCATCCTCTTTTTTTCTACATGCACTCCTTCACAAATTTAAAACTGTATTCTTCCTCTTCCAAGAAAAAAGGAAGTACAAAAAAACAGAAGATCCACAAAGATCAAAGACAAAGCAAAGATCATAACTTGAAAGGATTTTAAAGAATATCTTTTGAAGGAAATTGACAAATTCAGAGGATTATTTCCAGTTCCAGATTCCCTTAGATGGAAACATAATACTGATGGGTTGATTGTATAAGCTGGAAATCATGGGTCAAGCTGGAGGCAGCATGGGCCCATGGATAAGGTGTGGAAATGCTTGGTTCCAACTAAGGTTAAATGCTCCTCCTGGAAAGTGATCAAGCAAGACTCCCTAACACATGAAGCTTTACAGAAGAGGAAGTTTCAGATAGCCCTAAGGTAAGCAGAGACAAACAACCACCTTTTTCTGCATTGCAAGGTGATTGTTCAACTCTGGTCCCTTTTATTTAACCTCACAGGAGTCAAATGGACCATGCCTGAACATATATCAGACCTACTCAGTACTTGGATTAGAAGAGGAGATAGCAAATCACAGAAGAGATGGTTGAGAGTAATTCCTTCCTGCATCTAGTGGACAATTTGGAAGGAAAGGAATCGAAGGTGCTTTGAGGACAGATTTAACTCCATGCAGAAGATAAAGGAGAACTATATTGCAAACTTCCATTTTTGGTGTAAAGAAGGAAAAATAGATGATGTAATTCAGTAGATTTCCTAGGATCCTTGTAATTAGTTTGCGTTTCCTAGGCTCATTGTTGATAGTTTTTTGGAGGTGGTCAGCATTGCCCTTAATATAGAGGATTACAAATTACAAATTTTTCAAAAAAAGATTTTAAAGAAAGTTAGATGATGTACTACAAAATCAAACACCCTTTTACCTGCTTTATTCACACTAAATCAATTTCAGCAAAACGAAACCATAACAAGTCACCCGACCTGGTTTCCATATTACTTCAGGCTTAACCGGGTCTCAAGCTAGCCTTAAACAACAATCAAGACAACTAGGATATACAGAGTGATAGATGAAAGATTACTTTCTTTGATGAACTGCCAAGGTCATGTCCAGTTCCTTCTGCAAAGCATCTGGTATAATGTCCATGCTAGCCACTTTATCCCCATCTTTTAGTCTCATGGCAACAGAGCCTCTAGTATTTCTACCAAGAGCTCTTATCTGAGCAGAAATTAACAGTAAATGAAGGAAAATAAATTATCAGAAGAATCAAGAATAACTCCAGTAACAGGTAGACGTAGAATAAAAAAGTGATACCAACACTCTTACCTACTTCATTATAGAAATAAATCCACAATAAGATTGAAGTTAGAAAGTGTGCACATGTAAGTACTTACCTAAGTAGTAAAACATATATTTATCACAATCCAAAAGCGAGAAAAACAAAAAAGGAAAAGGGGAACCAGATCTCTGAAGACAGCTGCAAACTATACAATGCCCTTCTTTTTATCAAGTAAAAGTGCTTTCATTCATAAACATGGCCATAACTAGTTAAATACAAGGGGTATACCGTATACCAAAAGATAAAGAATCTACGATAAAATATGGTTATCTACAAACTCTGCCCAATAGTCTATACAACCAGGAACTTTATATGTGCACCAAAAGAAAATAAGAGAACAGAGACTACTCAGCCGGGAGAAACTCGACTCTACTTCTAAAGCTCTCATATTTCTCTTTCCAAACAATCCACATTAATGTTCGTTAATCTTTTGCACTCTAGCTTCGTAATCTAGGTGATTGCCTCTATAGTAATTCAATTTTTTTGCCTTTACTTTCTAATTTGATTAGAATTTTTTTTTATTTTGATAATTCCAAAAATCTATTTCATGTTCAAAATAATTTATCTGGGTCATTTAGTTATTCATCATAGTTTAATTCAATTGACATCAACATATCTTGGTATATCACAACTAGATCTTTAATTTTTATTAGACAAGAAGTTCATTAAAAGAAATTTTTTAGTTCCTTGAAAATACCTAAATTCTTGGACAACACATAAGATTTTTTGGAGGAAGCTGCATATATAACTTGATTATATATTTCCTTTTTTTCTCAAAGAGTATTTGATTTGGTACTATTGTTGGAATATAGTCAACCTAAATGTCTAGGATGCTTATGCCAGCTGGTTATTGAGAAGACTTGACAAATCCATTAGAAATATCTGGTGAATGATCCCAGCAGCCATTTTTTGGAGCCTACGGAAGGAGAGAAACAACAAATGTTTTAATGGAATATCAACCTCTTTTTGCACTCTTAAAGCCAAATGTCTAGCTGGTTTATTTAGCTGGCACTTTTTTGCCAATGTAAACAGTGTGGATAACTTTTTGGATTTTGTTAGTCCTCTAGTACAGTATAGAGTAGTAGAGTTCCCTTTTGACTGTTTCACAGGTTTTTGCCAAGCTAGCTCCATATACTTCTGTTTGGAGCAGTTTTCTTGCACTGTGCTTTTGTAACTTTGCATCTTCTTGATGCTTTCTAATATCATTAGTTACTTTTACCAAAAAAAAAATAATATATAGTCAACCTAATATGTGTTTGGAAGTATATCGTCATGTATTTTTTGACAAAGGTAAAAATATTGTCATGTATTTTATAAAAGGCCCAACAAAAACCGAATAAACTAACAAAAACCAAAGCAACAAAAACCCACTTGATTGGTTTTGTTTCCTTCTAGGGAAAAACTGAACCAAACCATCAATACCCCCAACCACAGCATTGGAACCCTTTAAATATCCTTACAAGACAGCTCTCTATTCATCATCCAGCACAAGAGACTTCCACTATCTCAATTCCCTTAACTCACAAAAAGAATCGCATGGGTTACCATTTACCAACAAAAAAGATCTCACCGAAGAGATGCAAAAATAAATCTATTTCAGACATTTATGTTCCATCTACCATGAGAAAGCAAACTTTCTACTTTCTTTAAATAATCTCACTTCAAATTATGTATGTACCTCAACTGATTAAGTACAAAAACTGCAGCTATGTACGACAGGTAGGCGACCCTTGCTTTTTCTCTCTCTCTCCCTCCACACACACACACAGATTAAGTATACCCAGTTTGCTGATTAGAATAAGTACAAATATTACTTGATTCAGATCCTGTAATAGAATCTTATGCCAAGAACAAACTTGTTTCTGCATGAACCGAAGCACCAATTTATTTTGTATTTTGGCACAGCAGCACAACAAACAATAACAAAGACTGAAAACAAGGTACCCATGAAATAAAAGAACAAGAGAGTTTACATTTGCACAAGGCGTTAAAATCACCATTCCATTTAGTGAAGCCATTGCAACAAAATCATTATTTGAGCAACATTTCACCCATTTTAATTCATCACCTGGGACCTGTCAGATCAAAGTATCATGTCTGAGCTTGCTTTGGGACCAAGAATCCTAATTCAAAGGAAAGAAAAGAGCTGACTAACCAATTGAATCGCAATTATTCCTGTAGACCTAATAGAGGCAAAATAGTTCAATGATACTTTTTTGATATATCCATTCACAGTAAGCATCACAAGATACTGATCTCCCGCAAATTCGCTCACAGGAATAATTGAAGTTATTCTCTCGCCATCAGACAAGGACAATATCTGATCAAGGGAAAGAATGAGAAATTAGGAATGAAGGCAACAAGTCAAGCTTTCTGTAGATGGTAAATATTGTACCTGAATTAAAGGAGTGCCGGCTGCAGTTCGGCTGCATTCAGGAATCTTGTAAGCTGGAGAAGAGTACACGGTACCTTTATCACTGCCAATTATCAAAACAAACACTGAAATAAGAACATCCGCATGCCAATCATTGGCAAAGTCATCCACTAACATAGAACTGAATAAAATATATTGAGGGATAACAATGATGTAATTAATGAGACAATGTAACAGGATTGTAAGGATACAAAATCCACTCAAACCAAGTTCCCTCTTCCATAAATATAAGTTGGGAAAGCAAAAATTGTCGGAAAAACAATTATATTTTTGCTCCATTTTATATGCTGAAAAAATCTAGTAAACGTAGGTAAAAAAGGTGAAAGCAAGTTTACCTAAAATAGAGAACTTTGTCATGGGCCCGGCAAACAAGGAAATCAGACATGGCATCATTTACTCTTAATTTACCAACTGATTTGCCAATTGTCCCGCGATTTTGTAGATTAAATGTGTCAGGTTTCATCCGTTTAACATAGCCCTTCTCACTAATTGCCTGAAATGAAGGAGCAACAGAAATAAAAACAAAGTGGAAAGGAAAAAAGTAACACAAAACCTTGAAACCTAGACAGCGCACAGGTTGATTACCAGTAGCATTTCTTCATTCGGAATCACGTCTATATCTTCAAGATTACCGCTGTCTGTATCCTCTAACTGTGAACGCCTCGGAGTGAAATACTTGTCCTTTATTTCAAGTGCTTCTTCTTCAATCAACTGGTTGTTCATATTGCAAAAATTGAAAAGCAAGGAGACAAATGTCAACTAACAAGGTAATTGAGTATCACTACATTATATCTGAATGGTATTGTAAAAGGAGGTGAACAATCAAAATATCAATATACTACCTAACAGAAGCACCCCGCCCCACCCCTAAATTGCTGACAAACACAAATGAAGAAAAGGAGCAATATCCGAAATGAATTAACTTGCTAGACAGTAGTAACAGGTCGCTTCTATACTGTATTTTGTAAGCTGGGTATTTCTATTAGATTGTTAAAAAAATTATGTACGAGTGGAAGGAACATAAATTTGACTTCTTGACAAATAATGGTACAATAACAACCAATAAATAGACAAACATCTGGCATCTTGATTCTTCAAAAAAAACAAAATGATAGAAGATCATATCTAAGCTTGATAAAAAAAAAGAAAAACCAGTTCTCATGAGGCTACCTGGAGTATTTGCTTCTTACTAGACAAAAGTTCCTCTAACTTGGAAATTTGCGCTCTCAAAGATTTCCCCTCATCAACAAATTTATTTCTCTGCATTACCGATACAGAAACAGAATGTTGGATGGAGTTCAATAACAACTAAAGCACCCATCATCAAATTTGCAAATGCAGCCTTATGACATACCTCGAGTGCTGTAAGCCTTCTCAGGCTTATATCTAATATAGCTTCAGCTTGTTTTTCAGTCAATTCAAATTCTGCAAGAGCAAGTTGATAAGAAATTTTGGCAGTGATTTCCTGCTGTTAGAAAATTATAAAAGAAAGGCAAATACAATTTCCAACACAACTATGAGCAGGCGATAGTGAAAAATCTAGCAACATGAAGATAATATGTCAGTAATACTGTTACCTTTTCTCAAATTGGCAGTTGCGAGCGCATGGCTTGATGCTTTTCTGATTGTATTGATGACCTCATCCAAGTTATCAAGTCCAATTATAATACCCTTAAATCACAACAGTGGAAGGAGGGGGTATATCAGCACCTTTATTCATAAATTCAGCATATTTCACTTGAGAGTTGAGTTATGCCCAAAACTTCTAAAGAGAAAAGAGATCTAAATTGTTAATAATGTATTATGGAGGTACAATAAATCATCAGATGTCTAGATGACTTGATAGAATAAAGATATACCTATTTACACGGGCCAAACACATACTGATTTTTGAGAGAAGTAAATTGAAACTACTCATATAAAATTTGTCCAATATATGACTATCTAACCTAAAAACCTTAAGCTTTCAAATGTTCTGACCCTAGCATTCTAGAGACTTATTAACACGCTCTCCCAAAGACTGTAAACCAACTAGAGTTTATTTGTTAAAGATACTTGAAAAAGAGAAGTAAATAGTTACAGGAATGGTTGCTTGAAAAACTGTCAGAAAATCACCTAAATGTCCTTACGACAGAGAAACTCAACAAAAAGTTTCAATTGCCAAAATTTCATAGGAAAATTTGCTGCCAGACCAGAGTCCGGCAAGAGGCATTTTTGCCAAAACTGTCGCAGGAAAAAAAGTATGGCACTTCCAGAAAAGTGATCAGAAATAGGCACTTGCCATCAAATGGTTACTGGAAGAAGGAACGATCCCGAGAAGGAAATTACAGAATGGAAAAGAACTTTTTTCCTGGTAACTGGCGTAAGCCTGCCTTCTCGTAGGCAGAACCTGTTTAGGCCTCTTTAAAGATAGTAGAGGCTCAGACACCATGTAGAGAAATAAGAAAAGCAAATTACCATAAAGATAAAATGGAGAGTACAAGACCCACCTATTCCTAGGTGTCAAACACAATCCTCATATGATATTTGTCTGATGTGAGCAATATATAGCTTAAGAACTTTACGCTTCTAGTATTTTAATTCTAACATTGTACAGCTTCTGATGAAGTGCTTTGGTTGTTGCAATATTTGTTTTTGTTACTGTTCCTTTTTTTAATTCTAACAGTGGGATCTCACTGGGCATGTTGTTGTTGTTGTTACTGTTCCTTTTTTTCAGAATACTAGTAATATTTCCCTATTATTTGCCATGTCTTCTTCACTTCTGGACTTTCTTTTTCAAATTGCTCTGATATGCTTTATTTGAGCCAAGGGTCTAACAGAAATAGCCTCTCTACCTCCACGAGGTAGGGGTAAGGTCTGCGTATACTCTACACAGACTACACTCCCCAGACACCACCTGTGAGATTACACAGGGTATGTTGTTGTTGTTAAGACTTCTGATCAAAGAGGGGGGAAAAGGACAAACTAACATACCTCAACAATATGGCTTCTTTCTTGTGCTTGTGAAAGTTTATACTTAGCCCGCCTTTCAACAACAGAGCATCTAAAATCCAAAAATGCCTGCCAGAAACAAAAAGGTATAACAATTAATGCATTGATGATACAAGTCAAAGATCACCTTGATTGTAATTATCAAGGGACATCAAACAAATAACATTAAGATATCAGAAGACAAAATGTAGGTGAATTATATCAATTTTGGACGGAAAGAAAGAAACAAAAGGAGAAAAATAGAGATGATTACAGAAAAGGCAAAACTTACACAATCATGCTTAAACAGTCTTTAATGGAAAGTGAAATTATATACATACAGACCATTCATCATATTATAGGAAACATTTGTCACCTGGAGCAATTCCTTTAACCCCATCAGCTTCGGTTGACCATTGAGAATACTGAAGAAATGTTGAGTGATAAGTAGTTAGGTAGAGGTATGAAACAAGTATGGATGGCTGTGAGCAACGTAGAATTCATTACAGTCAAGCAACATATGGACATATACTAGTTAATAATGTCAAATTTTGAGAACTCAGTTGCAACCAACTTCATTTCATATGCCATTAGTATGCTATAAATATCAGCTTAATTATTAAGAGGGGCATCTTCAGCCTACTATTACCTATAGAGGACTAATAAATGCAAGTACTTTTTTTTCATGGACAAACATTTTCATTAATGCAAATATGTCAAGAGAAAAGAAGATAAATTGACTTCTGCTCAAATAAGAATATGTCAAAACGTCATTAATACTATTGATAAAAGTGATAAAAGCTGGAAACTGAAAATGCATCTGGCAGTACATCGCAGTCGGACAGTACACCAAAACCTTGGAGAACAAGAGAACTCAAAAATGTCTCGTGTTCAATTAACTATGCCAAGAGTCAGGCATGGAGAAGAAATTTCAAGCAGAGAGAGCATAATAGTCTAGAGCTATCATATGAAGCTTAATATTTTAGCTTGAATGTCAGAAGAGATTAACTAAAATAAAGAAAGTTGACTGTTCAGTTTGCTTTCCAGTGTAATATGGACCTAGTAATTGATATGGAAACCTTGATATATTTTGTGGGTTCCACGCACAGAGAGACAGGAACACTTTTGCTTTCTTGCTTTTTGGAGTTTACTTCTTTAGCACCATCTTAGTGCTGAAGACATCAGTAAAATTGACCCTTATCATTTACCAAAAAAAAAAAAGCAGCAAAAACAGAAATCAAGAGGCGGAAAGCTATTATTATACTTCTTGAAGAATAACTTTCAACGCCTCTGATATTGATATCATAGGACTTTGGGGCAGTCTATAGGGGAAAACGCCTCTATCATGCAATTGGTTACAGGGGGAAATCTTATTGTAACAGACTGATCCAGATGCTGGAGTTTCCTTCTTTTGCAAACAAAGTATATAGCCTCTTAAAGGGGGTGATAATCACTTACCCGACCATGTTGCAACTAAAACTGGATTGCAGAGCAGTAAGACGGTAAAGATTATTCAACACGATGGCTGGATCAGACCCTCTTTTAAGCTGGAAAACAATTAAAAGCCAAACGTCAATCAGTGCTAAACATTAATACATTTTAAAAAAAATATTTAATCATTACAAATGAGCCATGGAATATGATGACATGGACAAATTGGGGAAAGGGGGAATGTTAGTGTTCTCACTACCTCAATGACTACACGCATTCCTGATCGATCACTCTCATCACGGATATCACTTACTCCTTCCAAAGTCTGGCAAGAAAGGGAACCAAAACAAATCAGGTGCTGTGTTCAACTCTTGACCAAATCAAGATATCAGATGAACTTAGAAAATAAGAGCACATACCAGCAAAGCTATGTGTATTACTAATGAAGATTCAAACAAACTTTAAAAGAACTGCTGAAACTACATATTTAGACACTAAATTTAGGAAAGTAAGGACCCCATGCTTATAGAACGTTACAATTACAATAGGCTAAGAAATTTGATTTGTGTCGAAGTTTAAGAACCAAGGTAACAACATTGCAGAATCAGTATATATCAAGGGAGATGGTGTGAATTTTGATATACATCAAGTATAGATGGCATGTGTATTCCCCACAAAAGAAGGAAGAGAAACAGGGATGCTTCCCTAAAGAAATCTGCACTCTTCAAAAGTGTTAGAGATTCTGCTCCCCATAAAAAGCCGTGTCAGAGAGAGAGGGTAATTCTCTAAACATAGAATATTATTGCTTAAGGAGCTCCTTTACACCAGATGGAAATAACTAGCAGTCAACAAAAATAAGAAAAGCAACACCAGCTACTCTATACAACAACAACTACTATGCCTCATCCCGACCAAGTTGGGGTTGGCTATTTGAATCCCCATTGACCATGCCTCATTTAAGCAAACCATCTACTATATAGCTTATTCATTTTTGTAGACTGCCCACGGTAAAAATGGACTCCCATGTTGATAACCATAGAAAAATGTAACCATTAAGTGCTTCAAGATTCCAAAGTGCCTTCAATGGAATTTATCATCTATCATATTTCTGCATGAGACTGCTAAAACATCTACCTCAAATTCTCTGTTGGCTGTCTGTCCCTTTTTTTTTTAAACTGGTAACTTTAGTCTATATATCCACAGGTATACTACAACAAAAGTGTAGTTCCCCTTCAAAAGTGTTACAACTTACAGAATAAAATATTCTTAGTCTAAACTGCTGTTAAGGATGCATATGAGAGTTGGAGTCTATGGAAAGTTGACAAAGCCATCAAGAAGATCTGGATTATGATACTTGCTTGTATTTTTTGGTGTATTTGGTTAGAGAGGAACAAGAGATGTTTTGATGGAGAGTCAACTGCTTTAGGCATTTTGAAGACTAGGTGCACTGAAAATTTGTTTAGTTGGACCAACTTGTATCCTGCTGTTAATGCAGAACAACTTCAGGATTTTACTAACTCATTAGCTCTGGCTTAGATAGTTTGTATAGTTAGCCAGAGATTTTTTTGTAAGCTCAAATGCCATATCTTGTAAATTTTGCATCTTCCTGATGCTGTTATTAATACCACTTATCTTATCAAAAAAATAATCTAGCACATCAAAGATGTCTTCTGTCCTAGTTAATACATCTTGTTTACACCAAAAATAGAAAAGAGCTAAGCAGTCCATCTTGATCTTCTGTAAGCTATTCTGCCAATTTTCAAAACTCCTGTTGTTTCTCTCTTTCCAGATTGTCCACCAAATACATGCTGGGACAAGTTTCCATCTCTTCTCCTTGTCAGAAGCATTGCCATCTCTATTCCAGCTGCTCAGGACTCCTTTAATGCTCCCTGGTTTCTCCCATCTTATCCCCTTTAGACAGATGAACATTCTCCATAATTGTTCCGTCCATGTACAATGCAAGAAAAGATTGTTAATTGTCTCAGCATGTTCTTCACATAAAGTACATCTAGAAGCCAACTGATAGCCACTTTTCTTTAGATTTTCATTAGTCAAAACCGCTTCTTTTGTCAATAACCACATGAAGCAGTTTACTTTGTAGGGTACTTTTGGTTTCCAGATGCTCTTCCATGGCCATTCCATCTCCTGTCCAGCATTCTTCTTGAGTTCCTTATAAATTGAATTTACTGAGAATTGACCTTTGGTGTCATTCTGCCAAACTAATAAGTCCTTTTTGGTGAGGTTGCTGAAAGATCCTACTGAATCTTGAAATTCTGCCACTTTGTCTATCTCCCAATCCTGAAGGTTCATCCTTAAGAACAAATTCCATCCTTGTCCAGTCCACATTGTAGCCACAGTGGCCTGTTGATGTTGGCATAAAATGAACAATTCAAGATGCAACTGTTTCATAGGGACAGACCCATTCCACTTATCCTCCCAGAAGGATGTCTTTGACCCATCTCCCACTTCTACCTTGGTTCTGTGATATAGCACTGGCCATAGGTTTCTGATTGCCCTCCATACAGTGCATTTATATGGAGTACTTATAATTTTAGTCATCCATTTATCTTCCATGCCATATTTTGCTGTGATGACCTCTTTCCAGAGCATGTTATCTTCATTTGCAAACTTCCACAACCACTTCATCATTAGACTCTGGTTTTGTTTCCTCAGATTTCTTATGCCTAGGCCTCCGGTATTTTTACTCACAATCAGTTCCTTCCATTTAACAAGACGAAACTTCTTCTTATCTTCACTGCCTTGCCATAAGAAATTTCTTCTAAGAGCATCAATGCTATTAGATACATTGGCAGGCATAGGAAAGACTGACATCATATAAGAGGGTAATGCATCCATCACACTGTTAATTAAAGTCAATCTTCCTCCCAAGGACAAGTACTGACTCTTCCAGTTGGTGAGTCTCTTTTCACATTTCTCCAGGACCCCATTCCATATGCCTTTGGACTTGCTTTCAGCTCCCAAAGGCATACCTAGGTAAGTAGTTGGAAGCTCCCCAACCTTACCTCCTAGTGTTCTGGCCAGAACTTCTGTATTAAGCACACTATTGATGGGATAGATGAAGCTTTTCCCCCGGTGCAACTATCCCTTTGTTGAGTCAATAGTAGTTGTATACAGAATAAACAGTAAAAAATCCACAATTTCCCAGTCCATTTAGCCCCTGTAATTATTTTTGTTGATAACTGTGGTGTCCAGGCCAACTTGCGGGCACTTCGGCTAATTCCAACATGCCACCTCCCACCAACAACTGGTTCACAGAGGATGGACGGAGACCAAATAGGCACAATAAGTGACATCTAGGTGGTCATGTAGCCCCACTACATGGTATCACTGTGGCCATGGCAGCAAGCATCTACTTAGCATTGACTTATTATATGCACAGATAAAACAGGCAAGATCATTTTTTAAAATCAAATAGCAGATATGTCAGAAAGGAAGGATATCAAGATAACAAGGGTGCATGAGAAAAGCACAACAAGTTTATTCTTCTGAAAGAAAGGAAAAGACAACAATATGCATTGCTCATCAGAGTAAAGTATATCAGTAAGTGGATTTTTTCCTTCTTACACAAAGAGACAGGTAATAAGTGGAGAAGGGAAACAATAACATATGCCACTAAGTTAGTGGCACTAACCAACCTAACACATTGAACATTTGTTCTCTTCTTCCGGAAGGAGCTTGGTATATAAGTGGGAGAAGGGTAGAGAAGCAGGCTCATGCGAACATGTGAGCCAACTGGAGTTGCACCAACTAATAGCCTGTTTGGGGAGCCAACAGTGTGTGTATTTTCAAGGAAGTGCTTATTTTACAGAGTTGAGGTGTTTGAAAAAGGCTTTAGGAAAAGTAAGTGCTTCTGAGTCGTAGCATAAGTTGCTTTTCATTTTTTTTGATAATGTGGCATAAGGTGTTTTTCATAATTTGAAAAAAGAAGATTTCCCCCAAAAAAAAAACTTTTTTGAAACCTTGGTCAAACACAAATTGTTGCTCTAGTATCCGCAAATGTGTTTTACAATTTGATTACCAAACACAAACTGCTATCCTCCAAAAGTACTTTTCACTTTTTCGAAAAGCACTCCTGGCAAAAAGCACTTTTCAAAATAAGTAGATTTTGTAAGCTTGGCCAAACATGTGATTAATCACAGGAAATCCCTAGTTTAATAACAAAAATACACGTTACTAATCAGAAAGTTACCTTATTTTCCACAAGATCAGCAATTTTCTCAACAAGGGACGCTTTGTTTGTTTGATAAGGAATCTGTTTCATTTATAAGAAGCAAATATCAACCCAGATTAAAATTGCAAACAACATCCACTTCTAACATAAATATACTAAAATAGCAGAGATAGGAACCTCTTGGATAATTATTGCAGCACGTTTTGTCTTGGCGTCGAGTAATTCAATATCAGTCTTCCCTCGAATTACTACTCGTCCTCTTCCAGTCCTATATGCCTCCAAAATTCTTTACAGACAGAGAATATAATTGGTCACACTGTTCAATGTTGCATAAATCAAAGACCATATGCTTCATTTCTCCAGGGATCTTAACCTTCCTAATGAAAGGAAACAAAAGAAAATCTCTAGGAAGATGGACTCTCAGTTCTCACAAAACAAGAAAAAGTACAAGGGCATGGAAATGCACCTCAAACTCTTACGAACCAATAGGAGAGAACAATCAGGTTATCAAATTTTATCACTAGCTTAAAAAAAGGATGATCTCTCAAGAAGTAGATTGCTATCAAAACATTGAAAAAGCAGCAGAAGAGCCATGAACATAGCACTGATATAAACTAAGAATTTCTAACAAAAGGATTGCCAAACCAAATGAACTTTTTTTATAAGTACATCTAGGTTCATTCCTTTCCACTGTGTAGCCATGAAATTACCAAACCGCCAAACATCTGAGAATAAAATTTATTGTTTAACACATTCAGATAAAGGGCATAAGGAACGATCAAGCAATTTTCTAGCTGAGTAGATGCTTTAAGCACTATATGACACCCTAGCCAACCATAAATTGTTAAAGGAAAACTAAAAGCTAGGTGGTAAAACCGACTATGTTTGGCAATTATAAGAAACAACTACCACAGGTACCTATTCTGAAATATGGCAAACTAAAGATAAGGGACTAGACACATCTAAGACCCATTTATACACTAGACATACATGCATCAATTTTCAGATTTGTGTTATCCACCAAAACAGCAGTCACGTGTCAGAAGTCTTAGAGGATCTTCCAAGGAACTGTCGCAATAAGGGGATTTTAAGTACTAAGCTCATCCAAAAGTACAAAAATCAACACTACTCCTGCTTATGTAAAGTATCCATGAGCTGAATCTAGGGCTCTATGATATGTTCTCTTCCATCTTTATGAGTAAGTGGCAAGTGGGAAGAGAAATAAGTAGGAGCTCAGAAAACCTACCCAATGTTGCCCATAATTATTCCGCCAGTTGGGAAGTCAGGACCAGGCATGTACTCCAACAGTTCTTGCAGCTAGATAGAAAACAAGAAGACGGTCATCACAGTCTTTACACAATTAAGTATAGAAAGCTCTGGTGTTCAAACAATGGTCTAAAGCTATGAAATGATTCCAATTTCAACAGTCAACCAAACCCCCAGAAAGGAATGGAACACAAAACAGACAACTTAGAACATTTTGAATAAAGAAGGTTTGCATATTACAAGATTCAGTTATATTCTGAAGACATAAAAGCTCCCAGTATATGAATGCTCAAAATTAGACAATGATTATGTACATAATCCTCCTATTATGCAAGGCAATAAACTTCACACATGAACTACACGGGAAAACAACAAATCCAGATGTATAAATCAGAATCTTACTTCAAGCCGTACAAAAGTAGCATTTGGCACCTAAAAGCATAGCCAAACAACAATGTTTTTTGTTTCATAAGGTAATGGGTTGTGAAGTTGATGACCAGGGTTATAACACAAAAACCAAAATGGAAATTAATATAAAATTGGTATAACAGAAAACAAACATTTTGAACACTTGTCTGTCCACTCTTCTTTTTTCATTGCAAAGGAAAGCAAAAAATGATTTCACACAAAAAAAAAAGCAAGGAGGAGGCAAGAGGATATATCCATAATCCATGAGCATGCATCAAGAGGTATATGTCTACCGTGGCTTCTGGATTATGAATCAGTGCAGATAGCGCATCCACGAGCTCCCCAAGATTATGGGGGGGAATATTGGTAGCCATGCCAACCTGAAAACAGCAGAGTGTGGAAAAAACTTATCACATTTGAGAAATGCTACTGAAATTTAGTTGCCCGCTGGAAACAGGATATTAGAATATGGGGCCATAAAAAGATACTAAATAGCTAACAAGTGAGTCAATGATTCACCGCAATCCCAGAAGCACCATTTAACAACAAGTTCGGAATACGAGCAGGAAGTAGCGACGGTTCTTTCTGAGAGTTGTCGAAATTTGGGACAAAATCTACCTGCAACACATCAACCATAGTGTAAAGAAACCCAAGACATAACATCCGTCCACAGTAACTTATTACACGTTTTAAGGAGAGAAACTGACTGTATTCTGCTCCAGGTCTGCTAATAGCATGGCCTCAGTGAGTGCCTGAGAAAGAACAATGATGAGCTTAATATATGTTACCAATTTCAAAAAAAACATTGATGAGCTTAATATATTTCCAAGAGAATGTTAATGAAATTGTAACGACAGTAATAAACATAGCCGTTTGGAACAATTCATCACTATTATTTCCCACAAGGAAGTAATATCAATAATTTAAAAGCATAACCCGGAAAATTAAAAAAAAAACTTAAGCCAAAAAAGTAATTAGTGACGTGATAAGCATTTATTAAGATCCTTCAGAAGTAAAAACTTATGCAGGTTTCGGACATCAGTTTCACTATGACAAAGAAATCTGCTACACAGAAAAACAGACAGAGAATTTTTATCTGAACTATGTACTCATATAGCTGAATTTATCAAAATTTAAGACTTTTGAACGGCGATAGAACCTATATTTCTGACTAGATTCAGGAAAAGATAGGAGATCCTAGTTTTTATTCTCTACCACTATCAAACACAGTCTATGCATGAGTCTCATTTGTACATACTCTTAGCCTTTAGGATTCGAGTCTCTCGGGATTTATTACGAAGCAACGATTTTCAAATGGATAACACAACCAAAGATTCAGCGAACATATAAAAGCTGAGTTTAACCTACTTCCAGACGGCATTCAGTGTACCGCATGGCCGCAGGAGGATCTGCATCAATTGAACCAAAGTTTCCATGCCCTCGAATGAGCGGAGACCGCAAGGAAAAATCCTGAAAAACATTATATATATTTTTTTTAAGAAGGTAACTTGTATTATGAACAAAAGGAATACTCAGAAAGGTATTCCAGTAATACTTACAACAAAATTACAGAGGGAGGGGTGTCCCTACTAAGCTTCATAAATAATCTAAAATACTAGGAATCTAAACATTATATTTTAAAACTTACAATAGAAGTAAATAATACCCAGTAGCCAAGCACACTGCAAAACGTAGAGCAGAAAGAACCTAGGCCAATTTTTTCACAAGGTAAATATAATTAATGGAAGGGAAATCCCCAAATACAAGTAGTATATAAAAATGTAGAGAAACCAAAACCAAAATATGGTTCTCTACAAAGGTCACCAAAATCATATATGCCAAAAAGGGCCTCATGGGTACACCCAAAAGAAACTAGAGACAAGAAGCTACTCCTCACATGTGCAATCATTTTTGACCCCTTCAAAATCTCTTTTATTCCACTCAATCCAAACTAACCATTAATTGCTTCGTTGCTAGTGAAACTACATCCCATGCCTTGGGTCTTCTTCTCCTTCTTCTGAAAACCCAGCTATACATTACCTCCTTTATTGTTCTTGGCAAAACCCACTGTATTCCGAACCAGTTCAGGACCTCCACCAAAGGTGCTACCTACTTGACAATGTAATAGTAAGTGCTGCACATCCTCTCCTGAACATTTACACATACAACACCAGCTGACATGTATGATGCTCCTCTTCCTCAAATTCTAACAGCTAATACTGCTCTCCAAGCAGCCAACCACGCAGAAAAAGAAAAAAATACTGGGTGCCCTCAGAATCCCAATTGGAAAATGCGGGAAATCCACTTTAATGATCTAGCCCAAGCATTTAATGATGAGTTCTATGGTAAACTCAAGATATAGATACTCGGGGATTATTTAGGTCATAGGAACTTTCCAGTCCTGCAATTTCATTTTTATGAGCACCACCAAAACAAACTTATAAAGAGACCTTGTCCAGCAAGATCTACATAAGCTTTCCATTAGATGAACTACTTTTAACATTTTACAGGAGGAGCTAAAGCAGTTTGTCACCCATTTTTTCAGATGTACAAATACATATCCTCTTTCAAGAGATAGATTGACTCTTTGGAATCTCCTAAAATCTTCTCTGCCAATGGATGACCTACTGACTTCAGATAGCATGCCTATTTCTCCCCGTCAACACCCCACCTTGCCCCAATATATATAAAAACACCTCACAGGAACTCGTAATTATTTTTTTTGAGAAAGCGGAACTCGTAAATTTTTATTGAGAATATATTTTTGGATTTACAGCAGGCAGAGGCTGAGCTTTTATTCTCGCAAAATATATGCTCATTCAGAGATGAAGATCAACAGAACAGACTGCTTCAGTTAATTTTACGACAAAAAACTACTTAGCCTACCTTTTCTCCTTTAATTTTTTCTTGGTCCTAGACTCCTTACTCATGATTTCTGAGGTTCTAGAGTTTAACGGGAAAATGAATTTAGGACATTAATAAGGTAGAGTGTGGTGATCTTTATGAAAAAGGGAAGGTAGGGTGTTTCTGCAAAAAGCATTTATCAAAAAAAAAAAAAAAGAGCCAAACAACTAATCGATCATTCAAAAGAGCTGCAATACCAAGTTAGTTGGGAAGGCATTATGAATAATCTGTATCCATTGTGCTCTAGTTAGATATACTTTTCTTTCTCAAGAAAGCTTCTATATTGTACCAACACTAAATAATTTGTCTTCAAGAAAAGTTAAAGGTTTACCATCAACACTAATACTTGCAAGCATGAATCTATTATACAACTATTGGACATTGATAATCCTTTTGTAAGAGTTAATTTATTGGAACATTACCTGGGCCATTCGGACCAAGGAATCATAGACTGCATTGTCTCCGTGAGGATGAAACTTACCAAGCACCTTAAATAGGAGAAAAACGCAATAAGATACTTGCAATAGGGATGGCATGAGAGTACTTCCAGCAGATAACCATTCATTTATCATGTATGTGTAGGAGAAAGAAGAGATGGGCTACAACCTCTCCAACAACTCTTGCACATTTTTTATATGGTTTCTTGGAAGAAAGCCCCAACTCATGCATTGCGTATCTGTAGCCAAAATAATGATAACTTATAAATCCAGTACAGATTCAAAGGATAGGTAGGCAAATATTATAGAAACATCCAATATAAGCAAAGAAAGCTCTACCAAACAAACCTCTAGTCCACACTTTCAAACTAGAAGTTAGTTCTACACACTTGCCCGTGATCAACATGAATCAGATGGAAGACTAGGCTTGCGGGTATATTCTTTTAGAGTAAAAGTTTGTTCATAGCAAAAGTGGGATAAGGTGTATACTTGGAAATGCATTACTCATATACGTTTTCAGAATTGAGTGAGTAATATTTCTTTTAATAGTTGTGGTGTCCGGGCCAACTTGCTCACATCTCTAATCCCATAGGATACATGTCAACTCCCACAAGCATAGGTATCATGTAATTCAATCACCAAGGCTTTTTTTTTTTTTGAGAAAGTTAACATTTTATAGACAACAATACACCAATGGTGTATTTCAGTAGTAATTTCAATCACCAAGGCCTGGACAACTGAAATATCATATTGCTCTCCTCTACCCTACTAAAACATTACCGCTTTCCATAAGTCAAAACAATTTTATGTTATTAGGTACTTCTTCTTATATTGACATAGAAAAAATTGCTTTAGGAGTATATTTATGCATAGCTTCTAGTCATATCTACAATTTCTTCCCCAAATAAAGTAACATGTGTCTGGTTTAGAGAATCACCAAAAATAAGAAACAAAGACTAGCGAAACTAGAGTAATTTTTTTTCCATTCCTCCAAAATGAGCTTTAATACCAATATCCCTTCGGGTACTTCCATCTATCCACACATTTCTCAACTAAGAAAACTCACAGTATTCGCCTGTGCACTGGCTTCAACCCATCCCTAACATCAGGCAAAGCGCGACCCAGCAGCACTGACATTGCATAAGACATGTATGCCTCAGTAGCCTCCTTGTGAAGCTCGGTATGTACAATTCTCTCCCCTCCTCCTCCTCCTCCTCCTCCGCCCTCATTTCCGTCTCTATCTCTGAGAATAACACTTCCATTACCTTCATCTCCAACCTCTTCCTCAGTGACTTTCCGGCGGGCACTTACCGGTCGGACTTGCTTCCTCGGCGGAGTCACTGATGAAAGAAACCGGAGCTCCGACGAGGCTTTTCGGAGCCCCGAGACGCGGGATGGTATTGCAGTGAAAGTGAAGTGGTGGTGGTAACAGCGTAATAGACGAATGCCAGTTGAAAAGGCCATGGGATTGGATTGTACAAATGAGGTTTGAGGGTTAAGCGTGTGAAGTTTCATGCATAGAAGCTGAAGAAGTTCAGCTGTGTTGGGGACGAAGATATCGGGAACTTTGTCGGATTGAAGTGTGCTAAAACCCTAGTGATTTTGCAGAAGGGTTTATTGCGCGCCAATATTTGGGACCTTGGCTCGAGGCCTATCTTATGTGGCTTTTTTCTCAAAATTGGGTAAATTTTACCACAATTACATATGTGAAATTTTAAAAAAGAAATATTTCAAATTTTATATCGAAATATGATTCACTTAATACTTCCAACTAAATTGGTCCCTTAATGGTAGGCCACTTTATAAAAAACATTTATTAAATAATTAAAATGATATTTAATTTTTAAAAACAAGCTTTTTTTTTATAAAGTAGATCAATTTATACTAACTTCAGAGAAAGTGTACTTAGGAGCCAGAATTCCTATCACTGGAATACAAAGAATGAGTACTAGTATCTATTCTATTCTTAGAACTAGAAGGATGATTAGCATTAGTTGTACTTTTATTACCAACATTACAAAAACATTATATTCCGAGCAAAAAAGTTGTGAACTAATCACATAAACATCCTTGTTTGTGTTGGACGGAACATTTGCTATAATTCTTGATTTAGTAACCCCTCCTTGATCTGTTTCTAGGCGATCCATAACCAAATTAGGAGATTGATGCTGCCACCATTCATTAAAGAACCAAAATGCGTCATTTTGTTAGCGACTTCATTTTGCTCTCTGTACACATGTGCAGGTGGTGGATCATTCAGGTGGTTGAGGAGGTGCCTACAATCATAAAAAAATTGACATATGAGAGTTAGATGTGTTTTGGATATGTTGAAACTCTGTTTGACATCTATATTGATTTGCAGTGATGTCAAATTATAAGCTATTGCAAGTTGTAGGCCGCGGAGCAGTGCGAATGCTTTTATTTGCAAAGATGTATTTGCATTCACTTCTCATGCAAAACCAATTATTTTGTTTCCTACAAAATCACGAAAGACCACTAATTCATTGAGTGTGGGTATGAGGGTTGAAAGCACCATAAGTGTTTAAGCTTAACAAAGTCTTTTGGTGTAGGAACTCAAGCTAGAGTGGTAGTCATAGGAGTAGCTTTGTTGTTGTTGTTAAGCTCTGGATGATAGTATTCTAGTGTCAAGTTCTGAATTACTGCAGTATTAGGTTGTGAATATTTATGCAAAAGGATGCAGTCATTTTAAGATTTTCAAAAATGCCAAAGAACTATATTAAAAACAAGTTAGTATAAAGGTGATATAATTTTAAACAGTCAAAATAGTTCTTAATTACTTTTTTATAAGTGTAAATATAAAATATTTGAAGTTTGAATATATACATCTTACAATCCGATAAAAACGTAAATATTAAGGAACAAAAAGTTGTTTTTTAATAGTTAAATCAAATTTATTAGTTTCACTAGTTATTTGCTTGAAAGGATTAATATGTATTTATCGTGCAAGAGTATTACAAATGTTGTGTGGAAAAATATTGAAATGTCTTTAAAAATATATTATTCGATAATTTTTTAGTGTCCAATTATTAACAATCATTATAAAAAATTTGAAGGAATTTTGTAAAAAAAATATCACCGTGATTATTAATATATTAATAGAACCAATAGAAAAATGGTGATAATAACTACTTTTTAACTAAAAAATGTCAAAATCATCTTTAGAAAGATCGTCAATAATATTTCACTTCATAGTTTTTTTTCAACTTTCTAAAAAAATTCATCAAATAATTGATAAATTTTGAATAATTAAAAAATATTTTTGATATTAACCCATAAAAGATACCAACGATACAGGATCACCGACCTGGCGGTAGTCCGCCAGATTGTAGATCAAGCAAGTCAATATCCTTAGAGGTAGTCTAACTACATAAGAATCGAAATATACAAGAATTTTGACATGGTTTCTCAGACTGCATGGTTTTATTATTTTACCCAAGCAAAGGGCCTGTCAAGAATCTAATACATACTTTTATTAAGCCCATGTGTCTGATAGTTCTAACCGGGTATGAGATGCCCTACTTATCAAACTCAATTTCAGGCTAAAAACCACGGCTCATCAGACGGAGTCATAAAGACAAAGCCAATAAAAGTAGTACTAGATCTGACTGTACCTCAATCTCGGAACCAAGTCGAGAAGCCATACTAAAATTCTTCTATATTTAAATAAAGCTTAGATCCATTCATGGTCTATATAAAAGAGAAGTTAGTTATCCGGCATAGATATAATATTTTAGCCGGACATAGTCACGGCTTAACTCAGAAATAAAAACTTGAAAATAAAAGGAAGTACCTTGTAGCAAACAGCACACTTTACTATTCCTCCGGCCAAAGTCCGGTAAGGTTACAATACTTGAAATATATTACAAGTGGAGAGAGAGAAAGAAAGAAGGAAAGAAGGAAAAAGGGTTTCTAAAACCTCCTCTTCTTTAAAGAAAAACGAACCTATTTATAGAAAAAGAAAGCAACTATGTACAGGATACTGGGCCCCTATCTGGGTCCTGGTAACAGTGTATTTACTGTTGGTGAACAGTGTTGCTACAGTAGTGCGGGCCCACTACCGACGCGCCTAAGCTTTACACTTTGTCCTTTAATTTTGCCAAAAAATCTTCGGCTTTCTTCAGTGCATCCACTGGACTTTCTTCTTCATATTGTTGGGCTTCGTGCATATCTTCACTTGTTTCACTACGCATCGAAGAATCTGATTTTGCGTAATGACTTATATTTAGAAGAATCTTCTTCTTGACTTCTTCTAGATATCTCATAATCATTTCATTTTGCTCTCCTTCATCATGATTAGAAATTTTTCTAGCCATATGTTTTACGGAGATCGAGTCATCAGTCATGATTCCTTTATTAGGAATTGATTTATAATCTTGTACGGTTTTTGTAATTAGATCCAGCAGTTCTTGTCCGTATATGGACTTTGTTTGAGGATCTTTCTTCATCAACTTGTCCCAAAAATTATTATAATAAGTTCTGTATAGACAAGGGATTTGTTCCTCAGTAAAATCTACTTCCGGAACCCATTTATGAATCCATGGAACAGAGAATTCTATAAAAAAATATATCTGTTCAATTTGTTGAAAATAACAAATATGTTCTTGATGATATAATTTGTTGAGATCTGGGGAAACCTTGACCCATTCTTTGTATAACTTGTGAAATGGTTCGGGCAATATTTTTATTGTTGGCCCGTGGTAAGACCACCAGTTTAAAAACCAATTTGGTATAGGATTCGCAAATATCTTGGCACATACTTTTATAAACCAAGTATGTTTATGCCTCTCATTGTTATAACAGAGAACTTTATTAAATGCCTGAATATAATCCCAATAGGTAAAGCTTACCATGACTTTGTTTAGACTAAATAGTCTTTCAGTCATTGAGGAAATACCCCAATCTTCAATATGAATGATGTGTTTTATAATCATTTTAGAGAAGTTATAAACATTCTCACTTGTATTATATCCTGAAAAATGTTGAAACTCAACACCTGTGCTTATTAGCAGAGTCTCATAATATTTCCGAGTTTTGTATGACTCACCCGGGAAATAAAGCCCATTAACTAAATACCTCTGGAATATCTTCCAAGGTTCTTCTCTTCTCTGTATGTCAGAGTTTTCTAAGAGAAATATCATTTCTCTTTTTTCTACCTTTTCATATGTTTTGATATCATCAACTTCTTCTTTGGCGATTGAAGCAAAAGAATCACCCTGCTTTTGAGTTATAAACTCCTGTAGTTTAGCATATAATGGATCACTTTCTGGAATATCTTCCAGATGTATTGATGATGAGGCTCTTTCTTGTGCTCTAGAGTTTAAGTTATATAAACTCATTCCTCCCTTTTGTATAATTGGAGTACTAGATGATGAAGATCCGTATGATGATCTTGATGAACTTGGGGATGATCTTCCCCTTCCTCGAGTATAACTGCCTTTTCCTCTAGCCTTGGTTATCCAAGGAGGATCCATCCTACAAACATAGCATTTAGTTTTAATCATTCAAGAAGTTAATCATTCAAGAGGTTATAAACTTCATCACAATAAAATCTTTCATAAAGCTCTTGTTCAATCATGTAATTATTGACAATATCAATCACCATTCCGTCTATAATTTTCCATAATATAAGTTCCTTTAAATCTCTAATAAGAGGAACTGCCTTCAAAATCGTAACCAAATCTTTATCAGGAAAGAAGTCAAGAAAACCCATCAGAAGAAAGATATTCCCTTGATAAGAAGTCTGGGAGGGAGTTATCACTTCCCTTTTTATACTGAATTTCGAAATCAAAAGGGGCTAATTGTGCCTGCCACCTAGCAAAAATTAACTTAGACGCATCATGTTTAAAATCTTTATCGATTTGACTGACTGAGCATCAGTTTTTATCAAAAATTTTTGATTATATAAATCATCTTGAAATTTTAAAACGCACTTAACGATAGTTAACATTTCATGGGCTACCGTCGCATATTTTTTCTGAGCATCGCTCCATTTTCCTGAATGAAATCGAATAAGATATTCATTTTTATCATGCGGATTAATTTGTTTTAATATACCTCCATACCCAATATTAGACGCATCCGTCTCTACAATCTTTGGCCAAGCAGGATTAGCAAGGGTTAAACAAGGTAAAGATTTAACTCTTTCTTTAATAGTCTTTACAAGATCTGTGAGACTATTGGTCCAAGGCTTTTTATGATCCTTTTTTAGCCTGTCATATAATGGAGCTAAATCTCGAGATAAATTCTTGTAGAATGGGGAAATGTAGTTTAAACTTCCCAGAAACCGCTGCAATTGCGTCTTATCAGTAATAATATCAGGGAATTTCGATGCAAATTCAATAGATCGCTGAATAGGAGTCATTTTTCCTTGACAAATCAAATGCCCCAAAAATCTAACTTCTGTTTGAAAAAGACTCATTTTAGGTTTAGATATGACCAAACCATTTTGAATAACTATTTTCTTAAAAATGTCTAAATGCTTAATATGCGTTTCAAGAGTCTTTGAGTATACCAAAATATCATCAATATAAACTATGATGAAATCCAAATAGGGATTGAAAATATCATTCATTATCTTTTGAAATTCTGAGGGAGCATTTTTTAACCCAAAAGGCATTACATTC